CGGCCGGCGGAGCGCGCGCGCTCCCGGCTCCAGCCGCTGCCTCCGTCCTCTCGCCGCTCTCAGCCCCGACGGTAAACTCACCCCGGGAGGAAGAGCCAGGCTTCGCCGGGAGAGAGGAGGTGAGGAGCTCACCGAGTGTGGGGAGCGGGCAGGGTGCCGAGTCGTTGCTTTAAAAAAGCAAGGAAAGTTCCTCCGAGGGAAAATGGGCAAAGTGCAAGGCTGAGGAGCTGGTGCGAACACACGGGCTCCCCACCGCGCCAGGCATTTTCAGGGTTTAATGGGGAGTCGCTCCCCAGGAGGCAGGCTCCCCGGCACAGAGGGCGCCCGCAGCAGCCCGGGCGGGCCATGGGGAGGAGGGGGAGGAGAATCTGGAAGTATTCAGACGGTGAGTGTTCTGCCTGAACTGCCCGGCGGCATCTGCTCCCGCCGCTGGCTTAATCCGCGTGAGCACCAGTCAGGCGTCCCTGTGGAATGGAATGCGCCGGGGCCAAAACCTTAAATCCCTCCGCGCTGCTTCCCTGCACTCTGGCCACACACAGTGGAATAGATGGATTTAATGTCGCCGGCTCTTTCCTTAACAAGGATGTTAAGCACAGGCGTCCCTGGGGGTGGACGCGCATGTGTTTACCAGGGTGGGTACCCAGGGCTCCCACCACACAGGTCTGGCTGCTGGGGAAGCCCCCCAGGTGGCTGGCTGTGCACTGACTTGGGAGATGTGATAACTACAACGTGTAGTGATGCAGAGGAAAAGCCAGCGGGAGGCTGTGAGCAGGGTGGGCGGCTGCCCCCTCCTGAGTACGGGCAGTCCACTGTAACGGAAATCATCTGGGGACTGCCATCCCTGGGTGGGCACGGCGTCTGCCGTGCAGGCCCCTGGGGCAAGGCTTGCCAGGGCTTAGGGGGCCTGGGAGCTTGACTGCATCTGGGGATATCAACTCTCACATCGTTGGTAATAAGGATTAAATCTCTTTAGAAAGAACCGTGGGGAAAGCTCTAGGTAAACTGTAAAGGACTGCACAAAAACTACTTGTATAAATGTGGTTACAAACACTTGAGTGTAGTTGTTCAAATCAGGTGTAACGTAGAGGCTTAGGAACCAAAGTTCCTGAGGTTTTATTACACTGATGAAGAGCAAATGCCGATACCGTTCTTGTTCTTTGAGAAGCCACGATCCCCTCGGGGGTTAGCTGAGGTCTTAGGACCTCAGGAATCGTGGGCGCAGGGGAGGAGGCCCTGGCTGCTGCTGGAGACCCAGCCCGTCCACACCTGGGGCACCTGGGAAAGGTCTTATGCCTAAGTCCATGTGGTCACGTGCGTTTTGGAAAGATGGCTGTGGTGAGGTGGTGGGGAGCAGTTAGAGGGCTTGAGAAAGCCACTGCTGAGTCCTGCTGGCTGAGAGGTGGCTGCACAGCCAGGGCAGGGGGCCACTTCCTAGGTGAGGGGTCTGCAGGGTCAGAGGGAGACGTCAGAAGCACCCTGGGTTCGTGGTGGGTGCAGCGGAATGATCACAGGGCCCGGGGGTGGGGGCAAGTCGGGGGTTGAAGGGCCAGGCCTAAGGACTTCCAGGGCTGTTCTGGCGCCTTCAAGACACAGGGAGGCAAGAAGGCAGCTGGACACAGTGGTCTGCGCTGCAGAGGGGACCTGGGGACTCACCTGTCCACGTGTGAGAACCTCGCTGCTCACTGGTTAGATTTTACGGAGTTTTGATTATGGATTTTGTCCTTGTTTCCAGTTGTGCTGCCTGGCGGGGCGGGGTGTTGAGGCACTTGCTTGCTCCTCAGCCGGCGGCTGGGCTGGGCAGGTGGCCCACGTGCTGGGCACCGTCGCCCCCTGAGCGCTCAGGGGCAAGAGGACTTGGGGCCCAGCGCAGGTCTCTTTTTGGGGAGCAAGATGAGTGAGCCAACAGAAATAAGTGAGACAGCCCCAAATGCAGGCAGCAGGGGCTGGCGAAGGGAGGGTCGTGCTCCAAGGCTGGGGGCCTCGTGGGACACCCTGTCCTGACTGCAGCCGGCTGGCAAAGCCCATCCCAACTTCCCATCCCAACTACCCTGGGCACCGCAGCGGAAGGGCGACTCCTGGGGCCGCCCTGCTCTGCTCCAGGCTCGGAGGAAGACCAGTGTTCTGTCGCCTGGAAGAAAAATGCTCCACCTGGAGCTGAGATTTAGGTTTTATTTGGTGGACTTAGGGCTTACGCAGGGGATGCAGCCTCTCAGATCATTCTGAGGGACTGGTCCCAAGAGGCAGAGGAGGAGCCTGGATGTACAGGGGTTTTTGCAACAAAAACCAGGTAATCAGAACATCAAAAGACAGCTGTTAATTAGGAGGGGAGGGCACAGCTCAGTGGTAGAGCACGTGCTTAGCATACAGAGGTCCTGGGTTCAATCCCCAGTACTTCCATTAAAGTAAATAAACCTAATTACCTACCCCCAAAAAAGCTTTAAAAAAGATTACTGTTAAAGAAACCTGGACATCATGTTAATGAACTTAGCGCTTTTCTATATATGGGAAGATGCCAGGTCTGGGCTCATTGAAACCCTTCCTTTGATGTGTACCTAGCTGTCAAGGGCTAGTGTCCTGTTCTTTCCCATCCTGAGTCCCCTCGGGGTGCACACTGGGGGCGGCTGCAGTGGCTGATGGCTTGATGGCCGCAACATCCTTTGTTCTACTGAGATGGCAGGTGGCAGTCTTCGCCCACTCTTTAAAAGGAGAACATAAAGGGATCACAAACGACTCTGTGTGGAAGTCCTACAGGCTTTTAACCAAGTTCATTCATTGCAAGACCCATCTGAAGGGATTAAGAATCAGACTCCGAGGTCTGTGGCCCAGCCTGGAGTGGGATGGGATGAAGGCAAAGCCCACAGCGCTGCCCTCTCCGGGAAGCAGCTGTCTCTGCGCGCAGGGCGGGCTCAGAGGAGGCTGAGCCCTGGCACCTCCCCTCGGCCCCAGCACCTGGAAGGAGTGCGGCAAATGCAGCGGGCGCAGCCGCATGGGCAGTTCTCCTGCACACTGTGTGTCGTGGAGAGGAGCATTCCATGACCAGGGTGTTTTCTCAGGACGTAGATGTTGTCCACAGGAGGAAGGGGCTGGCTGCGGAGTGATTTCTTTTTAATAATAAACTTCTCACAGCAGCCCATATGCTTTTTTTTCTTTCTTCTCTTTTCATTATTGTGTTATGTTATATGATGGAAGAACTTGGAGAAAAGTGTTCTTAAAATTTACGAAGGCACTATTCGCCGCATGACGTGTATCGCTGCAGCTGAGGTCCACACTGCTGTATAACCACCAGGCTGGCATGGCACTCAGTAATTCGCCTCATGTACTTGGCACACATGTGCAGGAGAGGGCACCGTGTTCGCAGGACGGCCGGAACAGCAGCCCCACAAGTGCAGCGCGCCAAGGAGATAACTTGATTAGGTGCAGATTTGCTGGGCTGAGGGCCACCGAGGCCAGGCTCCCAGGACCTCTCACCCTTCTGCTTCTCAGGCCTCCGCCAGTTCAGATGCACCAAACCTGGTCTCTGATCCGTAAATGCTAAGAAACCCCACCATGCCCACGAGCCCCCGGCCAGGGCTGCGGGTGTCCAGGCCCGGCTGGAGCATGGGGAGCACGGCTTTGTTGATCCCCCTTTCCTAACACCTCCACTGTGGAGTCCTCCCCTCAGGCCCAGCGCAACCAGCAGCAGCTGCTGGGCCAGGTGGGGAGGGCGCAGAGGCAGAACTCTGTTTCCTGAGCAGGGGGCGACCAGTGCCCTGCCCTTGTGCACTGTCCCCCGGCCACCCTTGCACCCCGTGCTGTCGTCCCAGTGAGCCCTTAACCACCCTGGGCACATCGTCCGGGGTAGCGCGGCCTGGAGCAGGGTTGGTAAGCGCCAGCGGTGGAGGGCTTGGGACAGACTGAGCAGCGGGAGGGGCCCGAGGCCAGTGGGGAGCGCGGCTACCAGGCTGGTGGGGAGGGCGGCAGAGCTGGCGGCGGAGATGGATGTATGTAAGGCCAGGTGTGAAGACTGGGACGTTCCATTAGGTCTGAAGCATCAGCCACAACCATCCATTTATTCTAAAAATTGGTGGGAACTTGGTCATTTTGGTGTGAGTCTTGCTTAGGAGGGGCCTGGAAGCCTGGCTGGATGGAGGGCTCCTGATCCTGACAGCTGCGCCCAGGGTGCCAGGGATGGCCCC